GGAGTAAGTCCTGAACATCACTGGGTGTGACCCCAAACCAAAACAGAACAAAAACAGAAACAAAGACATTAAAGTGAGAAAAGAAGTTAGTTGAGATGAAATGCTTCAAGTTTGTTCTTTTTCCTCAGGCCCACGCCAGCATGTTAAGGCAGATGTGGGCAGAGTCAATCAAACACACCTGCCATCTCCCCTCAGGCCCTGAGCTGAATACAAAAGTGCTGGGTTCAGGGTGAGCTAGTGTCGCTCAAGCTGCTCCTGAGAGAGAATGAAGAGTTTTGGCATGGGCCTGAGCTGAGCAAGGGATGAGCAGACCTTACTACCTGAACAAACGGGGCGTCTATGGATGCCATACCTGTCTCCTCAGGACTGTTGAGTTAGGTATACAGATGCCTTTGAGGATGGCCATGCACATCCCCAAGAAAACTTTCTCAAACTGCTGCAGGCAAGATGAAATCAAACAGCCACATTTTGTTTCTAGTTTCTTGCTAAACTATCCAGCAAGTCAGTAAGTGCTGGTCTGGGTTGGTTGCTACGGTGGGACTTCAAGAAGTTCCAGCCCTTGCCTCGAGGGTTTTCTCCAGGCCAAGTGTATACATGTGGAGCACAGAATATTTTATATTTTATCATTGGCATATTGGCAAACCAGCATTAGAAATCTAAAGACCGTTTTCTTCGAGAAACATTTCCCGTGCGTGTTTAGAATCCCAAGTCAATGCTCAAAATGTCTTGGGTCAAAAATATCTGTTTGTGATGGAGAGTATCATGCTGAGTGAAATGAGTCAGAAAGAAAGGGACAGACATAGAATGACTGCACTCATTTGTGGAATATAAAATAACATAATATGAGACTAACACCCAAGGACAGTAGAGACAAGGGCCAGGAAGATTGCTCCATGGTTGGCAGCCTGCCTCATGAGCTGGGGGAGAAGGCAGCTGGGAGAGAGAGGGGATCACTAAGTCAACGATGGTTGGAGGGATCGCTTGGAATGGGAGTTGTGTGCTGAAAGTAGATAAAGGACCAAACATGATGGTCTCTCAGTATTTGTATTGCAAACCATAATACCCATAAGTAGAGAGAGAGAGAAAGAGGGAAATTGTCTGCCATAGAAGCAGGAGGAGGGGTTAGACAGGGAGGGGTGGGATACTGGGGACATTGGTGGTAGAAAATATACACTGGTGGAGGGATGGATGCTCAATCATCATATCACTGAAATTCAAACATGAAAATTTTGTAACAATAGCTCTCGGTGATTCAATAAAAAAAAATCTGTCTGTAGGGCTAAAGAGATAGGTAGGACAATGAGTTCTTACATATGGCTTGCCCAGGTTGCATCCCCAGCATCCCATATTGTTCCCTGAGCACTACCAGGAGTAATTCCTGGTGTAGACCAACCCAAGAATCACTGGGTGTGGCCCCAGAACCATCTCCCCCCCTACTCCCCCCCCCCCCAAAAAAAAACCCTCAAATCTGTCTGCAATATAATGGCAATAGTGTTCTAGAACTTAATTGTGATGTCTAGTGATATGTTTTGGGAGAAGAATACATTTAAGGATTCAACTCTGGCAATAGAAGTCATTTTCCTTCTAAGCCATCAGACAACCTGTGTAAGGGCTGTACTTCTTGGTGTTCCATCGCAAGTGAGGATGGAATGCAGCTTCTCTGTTGGTGGATGAGGGGTCTCAGACAGGAAAGGGAGCAGATAATAGGAAGTAGGTAAAGTCTCACAAGATTCCCATGGCATGGGGAGCAGAGATTTGTGTAAGTTCTCTGGCCTAAGGATCTTCATGGACGAGCCCACCTGCTGTTAGTGTGAGGAATTGTTCTGTCCTCTTACTTCCTACCTTCTTTCATTCCTTCTCTATGGTGACTTGTTAAACAGTTTGCTAAGGTAATCTGCAGGTTCTGAGATGAATAAGACATAAATGAAGTATTCATCGCATTTTGAGATACCCGTGAGAAACATGCATTGAATCCCCAGTGCTTGGAACACCATCTAGGACCTATTAGCTACTCAGTGAACTTGGTTAGATGAATGAAGGAGCTTATAGTGATAAATGTTTGCGAAGGGCAAGAGGAAGTTGACCAGTTTTTTTCCACTGTGGCCTGCATGTGCTTCCAGGTTCAGTTCTCAGTCTTTGCAGTCAAAGTCTTTCCCCATATTGCCTGTGTGGTGCAGATATCCTTTCTGGGATTTGCCACCTCAGGACTTGGCTCACTGTTATCTTTCTTCCTGATACCCCTGGCTTAGTCTCATCTTTCCACCTCCATACCCAATTTTTTCCCCAATTACTTCCTGTCTTAATGGTCTTATTTATTTATTTTTTATTTTGTTTTTGGTCCCTACACAGCAGTGCTCTGCATTTACACCTGTCTCTCTACTCGGGAAGCACTCCTAACAGTGCTTGGGGTACCACCTGGTGTGCCAGGGATCAAACTGGGGTCTTCTGTATTGGAAGGTAAATATCTTCATCCCTGTACTAGCACTCTGGCTCTTAAGATATTAATGCATTCAACAAATAATTAGTTGGAAACATACTACCTGAAAGAAATGGTAGGTTTTCACAGAAACTGGCAATAAACAGAAAACTATGCCCTGAAATACATCCTCATCTCCATGGGGAAGACAAATGAAAAAGGTTCCACGACAAGTTGACTGGTGATAAGTTTGATTAATGATGTGAAGGAAAAGAATGGATCTATTTGCACCTTGGCAGGGGGTCTTTCCCTTGTCTTGGAGGTGAAACTACTTTGAAGAAACCAAAATGAACTCCTACACTCAGTGGAAACATCAGAACTTTGCTGGTACACACTTGGAAGTTAAGCTATCAACCCAATTTTTAAAAATTTTTAAACTAGTGATAAATCAATTTTTAAAAGGAGTAAAAAGGAAAATTACTAAATATTTCTGGCCCTCATTATCTGTTTTATGATTATTTTATAAAGCAGACCTGCCTAAGACTATCTAACAATGATAGACTAGTATATGAGGACAATAATAGAGAACTGCTTGTGATGAAGGGATGCTTCTGGTAGGGAGGAGAGGGCTAGAGGTGGAAAGGAAGGGTTTCTGAGGCTGAGCAGAGGTCCTAAGTCAAAAGAGCGGAACATGTTTGAGAAATGAAAGAAAGCGAGATCTTGACTGGGCTTTACTGGCACTAAGAAGCTATTCTTTATGCTCCCTCCACTAGAAATATTTCAGGAACCTCCTGGGAGCAGGCAGAATTCTCTGCATTTCTCACACTGTGACATAATCACATGTGAGGAGCCTGCCTTCCTGTCTGGAACACAGACTTTAAAGGAACAATCGTTTTTTAATCCCAACACTGAATGCAATGCATGGTATAGTGAAGGTGATTGAGATTAGTTCAATGTAACATGAATGAATGAATGAATGAATGAAGTGAACCCAATATCCTTTTTATCCCCCCCCCCCCCCCCGAATAGAGCACCTGCAGTGCTCAAAGGGTTACTCCTAGCTCTGAGCTTGGGAGGTCACACCGGGTGGTACATTTATGTAGTGCTGGGAATTGAACCCGAGCTTCCTTTAAGCAAAGCACGCGCTCAGTCCTTTGAGCTCTCTCTCTCTCTCTCTCTGGCCCCTTAACCACCAAGCTTTTGATAAGAGTAGTTATCAAAATTACTGTGAACTCAAAATGACACTCTCTGACAAGTAACTGAAATAAAGCTAGCTCAGTTAGCCAGATAAGCACCAAGTCACAATCTTTCACAACCTGTCAAACAGAGAGTAGAAAGAGAGCATTTATTGGCACATAAACGCTTGGCTCTTGGGAGGAATCACAAGTCCTCCAGGGAGGAGCTGAGAGCAGTTTCCTTTTAGTAGGAACAACTGAGTATCCTCGATGGCTCCAACACACAGAAGAATGTTCAGGCAGTATATTAACTCCGAAGAACCCTTGGTTTCAGAATCCAGTTATATTCTGATTAAAAAAAAAAAATTGACGGGACCCAGGTACAGCTGCCAATTGTTTTCAGTTTTTCACTTGTTGAATAAGGTCATTTAAAAAAATCACCATTAACTTAAAAACAATAGCAAGGGGCTGGAGCAATAGTACAGCAGGTAGGTTGTTTTCCTTGCATGTGGCTGTTCCATTCCTAGCATCCCATATGGTCCCCCCCCCCCCCCCCCTGAGCACCACCAGGAGTAATTCCTTAGTGCAAAGCCAGGAGTAACCCCTGTGCATTGCCGGGTGTGATGCAAAAAGAAAAAAAAAAGCAAAAAAAAAAAAAGAGCCAAAATTCAAATTAAAAGGAAATCATTTGAATCAAACATCTTTAGTGTCAGGAAAACTTGTATTGCTATCCCTTTGATTAGAATCCAGTGAAATTTTTTTAGGCATTTATATGACAATGGGGAGGGCCTTGGTCAACCTGGAAAAACAGGGGCGCAGCATAAACACTCACTGCTCGGGCCTGGGGGAGAAAGTGTCTGTCTGAGTGATTCCTGTTGAGAAGCCAGCAGGTGGGCCAGCGGGGGTTGCAATATGCTCCCAGAAGAATGTTTCTTAGGGTGGCCATAAGGTCTAAAGTGATTCAATGATCTAGTGTGGCTCAACGATTGTTACTGGAACAGAGTCTGGTGTTTTCAAGATTGACTGTTTTTGCTTTTTCACAGAGTGTCCATTTACTTTGCAATCAGAATAGCTATGGTTTCCCTTTCCAATAAAGTGACCTCCTTCTCCCAAGGAGACTTCACCTCTCAGAAGGGAAAAAATATAACAAAAGTGGGGAATGAGGGACTGTTGATTCTTTAATTTAGGCAGAAAACCACAGGCTCTGTTTATTACTCAGTCAATGGAAGCCATCGACACTAACCTTAAAACATTGCTTCCGTGGACAAGAAAGGCATGAAAGTCTCAGGATAACTTGGACAAGAGAAAAGGGCAGTCCCACTGCAGTATTCTTGTCTGGGTTACTTTGTGCATGGACTGGAAATGCAAATATCTAAGCAGGTGAGTCTGTCCTCCTGTAATTAACTCAGGTTGACACAAATGAACAGCTGAGAAGAATAGCCCAAATGAGGATTGTCGAGTATGACTACAAACCTGAATTCGCCTCTGCAATGGGAATCAACCCTGCCCATCAAACAGGTATGTTCACAGATTCCCCATTCCCTTTTGTACTGCTAATGCTTCCCCCACTAGAGGAAGTTTGGGTGATAACATTTGACATCTTCTGGTTAGCATTTACACATTGCTTTCAATATTTGGCTTCGAGTCCAAAAATGCAGAGAAAAGAACACTCCCGCTTTTTGAGCTTGCTACAGTATTTCTTAGCTCAAATATGATATTTTGCTCCAAAATGCATCATAGATCAACACAAAAATGGAGACAGGATAATACCTAGGTCTTTTGTGTGGTGTCTGATATTCCATCCTCCATCATCGTGCACTAGTATCACCCTGGGAGGATTTTTCTTCAGAAAGACCCTTTCCTAATGAAATTTATTGGAGTGCTTTTGCATCTAGGAATGATTGCCCAGGAAGTGCAAGAGATCCTGCCCAGAGCTGTGAGAGAGGTTGGTGATGTCACCTGTGAGAACGGAGAGACATTGGAGAACTTCCTCATGGTTGATAAGGTAACCATTGAACTGCCATTTACCTGCATTAGTATAACTCTGTGCTGAAACATTCCACAAGGAAGCAGGACAGTGAAGAGGATTCTAGGGTCTGGGAGAGAACTCAAAGGACTAGAACACAAGCTGAGGGTAGAAACTCTAAGGTATATATCCCTGGTATCACATGACATACACTCTCTATCCTCAGTACCCTCTCATTTCCCACAGCATTGCTGACCTGAGCATGGAATCATCAGGCCTGCCCCTCAAGCAATTGTCCTGTACCTCACCTTACCCCAGCACCTTTGGTGTTGCCTTTAAGAACAAAAGCAAAGAGAGAGACTCCTTCATCAAGTCATGGTGGAAGTCAGTGCCATTGATCACATATGGTCAAAGAAATGCTAAAAGGAAAAACAGAAATATGCAACTATAAACTCAGTGGTTTGGGAGAAGGGAAAGTAGCCTTGGGAAAGCCCACTTAGCATGAGCCCCCTTAACACAAAGACCAAACTGGGTAGGAAGCTCAAAGGACTGGAGCACGCGCTTCCCAGGCACATGGTCCTGATTCCATTACCAGAACTGCCTTGCGGATGGACTAAGGCAGAACTTCTGGCTGGCACCACCTCCAGACTGAGTACCGCTAGAGGAAGATTTCATTAGAGTTTGTCTTAAGAAACGGGAGTAGATTTATGAAGGCAATTGATTTTATCATATAATTGAAATGATCATTAAAACAATGTGCTTTGAGAATGATGGAAGAGTGCATGAAATGCTGATTTTCCTTTTGAAGCACTTTTTCATCAAATTGTTTGACTTTCACAGCACAGTCATAAAGTGAGTTATATTTACCCAGAAATGTAGAAATGTATGTCTCCTCAGGCCCCCAGGGGCCTGCCTTAATTCCTTGATTTTCAAATCATTCTCTTGTGGAGGTGATTAGTTTATAGATTGGTTCTGTCCTTATAGATTAGCTCTTCTTCTCATGTTGCCAGGTCTGAGGCTGCACACACCAGGCCTTGAAGCCGTGTGTGATTTGACAGTTATCTGATCCTGCAGCTGTCAGTTTTATGCAAGCTTGCCTCTTTCCTGAGGTTACCAGTCCCCTCTGCTGCTACCTTGCCTACATTGCATCTTCATATTTGACACTGGGAAGGAGATGGCTGTCGGCTTCTATAGAATTAGGGAGGGAGGTGTAATGCGTCAATTCAGAGGGGCAATGCTTCTATGAGATTCACTGGGAATCTTATTACATTGCAGGTTCTGGGTTCGGAGGTTTTGGGACCTCCTCCTAATGCCCAGAACTGCATCTTAGAAGAAGTTCTCTGGTCTCTTAGACCACACTAGCACTTCACTTCAGAGTTGTAGCAGGAGAAGTGTATTTGGAGTCTGGGGGAAGGGAGAGAGTTTGAATTACAACCAGAAGTGCTCAAGGATTTATGGAATATAGACAGCACAGTACAAAATTCAGAAAATTAGTGTTCATCTTTAGGCCAACATTTTCTGGTGAGGATTTGACATGTGAATTTTCATTGCAGAAACTCTACAAAATCAGAAGATTTTTTTGTTTGTTTATTTGTTTTTGGTGTTTGGGTCACACCCAGTGGTGCTAAAGGTTTTTTCCTGGCTCTACACTCAGGAATCATTTGTGATAGGGTTTGGAGAACTATATATAATGCCAGGGATAGAATCCAGGTCTGCCTCTTGAAAGCCAAGTGCCTTACCCAATATCTGGTTTAGGAAATGTATTTTTAACAACAAAATAATAAACTTTACTAATAATCTTTATTATTACTTTATTTTTACATCAAATATTGTATTTATTCTGAAGTATCCATATAATAAAGTCACTTCCACCCTTTTACATTTTTTGTAAGATTTCCAGGGCAAGAGAGCAGTACACATGCCACTGTCCATCTCGGGGTGCAGTTTGGTCACTAGGGGACTTGTGTGGTGGTAGGGACACTTCCCCATAGCTACTCCTCCCTAGGAGACCTTCAGGAAAGATTTCTGTTTCTTTCCTTGTGTGGATAACACTCACCCAGGGCCTCATTACTCGCTGCTCAGTAAACCAGGACTTCACCAGCCCTGGAATTTTCTTATTTCCTTCTAAGTTGCATGCAGTCAGGCAATTATCAGCAACATGGGGATCCCCAGGCCACTTCTACTCACATTCCCCAAGTGGGTGAGACCATCTATATTCATTCCAAGGATGCTCTGTCCAGACATCCGTGAAGGGAGAGTTGACATTACAGTTCTAGGTAGCCCAGTTCATTAGTCAGCGGAGGAGCAATTAGTCAGCAGAGGGCAGCTTTCAATTTTGAAAGAAGCAAAGCCAACAGGGGCACGGGAGGAAATATTGCAATTCTCTGAGGAACACAGACCTATAGTGGGACAGTCGGGGGTGCTGTCTGTCAGGTCACACTCCTTCACAGAATGCTCCAGGCCCTGAGCCAGTGGACAACCGTACAGTCTGAAGCATGGCCTTTCTTTGGACTTGTTTTTGATGGGAGACTTCACTTGCAGGCCTATCTGTCCACCCTGTGGAATGCATTCATCTTTCTCCTAAGTAGGACATCAAATGCCTGCTTTCTTTTTTCTCACTAAGAACACAAAGGCCTGGTGCCTAGAGAGCTTCTGGCCTGCCTGGCCTTCCAGCCACACGTGTGGGCAGAGATGACTTTCCTGTACTTGCTGCTATTTCCAGGGTCCACTCAAGGACTATCTGGGGTTTTGTCCTACAGTAATGGGGGAAGACCCAGCCAACACACAGTCTCTGCACTCCATGTCTCTCTCACCAAATGGCCCTGTGCTATATAAGGAAAATTTCATTGAATCTACAATGCACACAAGTAATCTATATGGAAATGTTGACGTGTAGCATGCCTTAATCACTGCATTGCTATACTGTTTCTGTCATGCCCTTTGCATAGGTAAGGGACTAGAGAGATAGCAGAGAGGTTAACTTTCCTTGCATGAGGCCCCTGTTTGATGCCCGGCGCCACATATGGTTTCCAGAAGTGATTCCTGAGCACAGAACCAGGAGTAAATCCTGATCACAGTTAGTAAATCCTGATCACAAAGCAAACAACAAAATAGTTGAATTTTGACAAATTGTCATAACCAACCAAAGCTGAGAAATCAATGATGAAAATGATCGAAGCTTTTATAACCATCATGTTCTTTTGTCTTAAGAGTGGAGATAAATTTGCAAGACAAACATTTATTTTTTATGCTCTGTGTGTGTGTGTGTGTGTGTGTGAGAGAGAGAGAGAGAGAGAGAGAGAGAGAGAGAGAGAGATACAGAGATACAGAGAGACAAAGAGACAGAGAGATGGTGGGGGAAACAGTTCAAGTACTGCTCAGGGATGCCAGAGGCTACTCCTGGAGATTCAGTCTACAGAGTTGGATGGTTTAATACTTGAAACTGATGGTGAGGTTCTGGTTGGACCCACGGTGCTGGGGCCACCAGGATCACAGCTGCTGGAGCCATGCAGTGTTGGGGATTGAACTCAGGCCCATGTGTGCACAAAGTGGGCATCTGACCCCTGAGTTATCTCCCACACCCAAGTTAAACTTTTCTTGATGGGCAGGATTTACTTCTTCATGTAAATCCTCATGGTTTTTGGGTCCGTGTCCCTCAGTGACAGGGGGTGGGGTGGAGGACTCAGGGATGCTCCTGAAACTAAGAGTTGCTGAGCCCCAAAAGCTGGCCCTTAGTCCTCCTTGGGGCTTTGCTCTTTGGGTTGCTCATTTGTCTTGTCCTCTGATTCCTTGGAAGCAGGTATTTACTCTTAGCATTATTGCAAGATGTATATTCTTACATTTATTGAGAAAAATGTCCTCAGTAAACATAAGAATGTCCTTCAGTGAGTTTACAACAGAGTCTGCATGGAGTTTTCTTTGTGCTAATTAGTCCTGGAGCAAACTATATTATGTTTCAGGACAGTGAAGGCCAGTTCTCTCATTATAAAGCTCAAACTGGCAGTTAGGGTAACGCTTCAATGGAAGGACCCTGAGCCAGGTCGTGGGAGTCCAGTGCCATCCCATAGCTCGGAAATCACAGGGCTGAAGTCCAGGCTCATGGATGGAAAGGAAGCGGGGAGACAGAAAGATAAATGAAAGAAAAAATAAATGAGTAGAGTTGGGACTTGGAGGGAGCATAACCATAACCTGCCAAGGCTGCCTTTTCCTCATCTATTGTGTCTAAATGGAAAACAAGTCTGTCATTCATAGATGTCTCCTGGATGCCATTTCCCTCCTAACTGACCAGTCATCCAAGCAAAATCAAGGGCTTTGGAAATAGTACAGGGTTAAGGCACTTGCCCTGCACATAGCCAACCCCGGTTCAAAGGTTCCCTAAGCATCCCAAACACAGAGATGGGAGTAGCCCCCAAGCTCTGATAGGTGTGTCCTAAGACAAAAACAAAATCCAGGGGGCTAGGAAGGTAGCTCAAGTGGTAGAGAACTGTGCCTGGCCTGTGAGAAGGCCTGGATTCAACTCCCAACAACACTTGGTCCCCTCAGTACTGCCAAGTACAGACTGAACATCCCTAGGGATGCTCCTATGAAAAAACACTGATCAATCCCACTTCTGGCTTTTAATTGGCTGTGGACTTTTACAGCCCTCTGCAATATAGATGGAACCTCATCTTTATAATTGGTTTCCTAACATATGCAACCTCAAGCACCAAGTGGAGACCCTTCAAATATAAGAAGTCCGGCACCTCTTGATTTCCACTCTCCCCACCCCGCAGCCCCCATCCAACGTGACCCCTGCAGTACTCATGGGACCATATACCGTTCCAGGCACTGAACAAAGGATGACATGTACACGCGCAAGTATCCTTAGCTATTGTACTATTTCTCTGTCCCCTAAAGACTCTATCTTTAGAGTCATCATCTCATCTGAATCTCAGTGCCTGGATGAACCCTGGCTCCCTCCCTCATCTGAAACAGTCATCATGTCCCTTGGTGTCATTATGTTGGTCAGAGTCAGCACCCCTGCAAGGGTGTGAAATATC